ATGTTCCCTCCAGTCCAATTCCCTCTAGGACTTTGAACATAAATGCATGTTGAATTTTGTCAAAGGCCTTCTCTGCATCTATTGATATAACCATGTGGTTCTTGTCTTTGAGCCCATTTATATGATTTATGACATTTATTGACTTATGTATATTGAACCATCCCTGCATCTCTGGGATAAAGCCGACTGGACCATGGTGGATGATCTTTTTCATGTGTGTCTGTACGTGGTTTACAAGTATCTTGTTGAGAATTTTTGCATCTGTGTTCATGAAGGATATGGGTTTATAGTTTTCTTTTTTGGTTGTATCTTTACCTGGCTTTGGTATTATAGTGATGCTGGCTTTATAGAAGGAATTTGGGACTTTTCCCTCTGTTTCTAACACTTTGAAAAATTTAAGTAGTATTGGTTGGAGGTCCTCTTTAAATGTCTTGTAGAATTCTGCTGTAAATCCATCTGGGACTGGGTTTTTTTAGTTTGGAGTCTTTGTACTACTGTTTCAGTTTCCTTATATGTTACGGGTGTGTTTAACCTGTTGATCTCTTGGTTTAACTTTGGTGGTTCCCATGATTTTAGATTTCCATCCACTTCTTTTAGATTTTCAAATTTAGCAGAGTATAGAGATTTAAAATATTCCCTTATATTGGTCTGGATCTTTTGGGTGACTGTTGTGATGTTTCCCCTTTCATCTCTGATTTTGTTGATTTGGATTTGCTCTTTCTCTTTTCAAAGAACCAGCTCTTGGAATTGTTGATTCTTTGTATTGTTTTCTTTGTTTCAATTTCATTAGTTTCTTCCCTGATTTTTGTTATTTCTTCTTGTCTTCAGGGTTTGGGTTTCATTTGCTGTTGCTTTTGAAGTGTGTTGAGTTGCAATGTTAAGTCATTTATTTGTGTTCTTTCTGATTTTTTGATGTAGGCACTTAGAGCTATAAACTTCCCTCTAAGGACTGCTTTCAGCATATCCCAGACGTTTTGTCATGTTGTATTGTCCTTTTAATTTAATTCCAGGAATAATTTTATTTCTTTCTTAATTTCTCTTTTGACCCATTCATCATTCAGGAGTGTGTTGTTTAATCTCCATGTGTTCATGTGGTGACTAGGGCTTCTACTGGTGTTGACTGTAAGCTTTATCACATTGTGGTCTGATAGAATACATGGAATTATTTCATTCTTTTTGCATTTGTTGAGGTTTGTTTTGTGCCCCAGTATGTGGTCAGTTTTGGAGAAGGTTCCATGGGGTGCTGAATAGAAAGTATGTCCTTTGGTGCTTGGGTGGAATACTTGGTAGATGTCTAAGTCCATTTGATATATGGTATTGTTTAATTCAGATGTCTCTCTGTTAACTCTCT